CCGCGTTCAGTGCTCACATATTTCATAAAACTGTTCTTCTAGCTACGTTGACCAAACAAGTGCCGCAGACTTGTGCGTATAATACACAGGACAGTCTTCTGAAGGCGGACTAGTGCAGCAAACACTAAGTCGACATGCGTAATGCAGTTTAGAACTTTTAAGAATGCCTCGTCTTCCAGACACGGTTGAAAAGTGTTGGAAGTTAGAAAAACTGCAGTGAATTCAAAAGAATGAAAACATGGGAATAATCGATCGCTAGAAAAGCCTCAGTTCATTTACGTCGCATGTACAGAGGAATCTAATGCGGTGTACTCACAACGGCGTTACGAAGTTTATCGCGTTTCCTTTTACGGACTTTTTTAAGAAGTCCGGCTATTAGGTTATTATTTCACAAAATGGCTTTCCTTTAACCTCGGAATAGCTACTCAATATTGATATTGGTGTTTTTGAAGTATTCATTCTGATCTGCCAAGTGGTAATGATGCCGACTGTTGCAGGATGTATTGCCAGCAGGAAAAGAAACGATTATTAACGGGCAATCACTATCATCAACAACCGTTCCATATAAAACATCATCGCCAAGAGAAGTGGCCTCCATCGAGTGGTGCTCTAACGAAAGAGATTCGTCTGATGCGACGAAGAAGACATCATATCGTGAGTAGAAACGATTGTGGACCATCGAGTCGAATCATCGGCTCTGAGGATGACGGAGGCGCCAAAAAGTTAGCAGGATAGACCTTTCTATCAAGCGAGTGTTAGCTTACCAATAAAAAAATACACATTAGGTTAGCGTCCTTCCTTGTTTTCATGCGCTTTACATGCTGTTGGATGAAGTCACTAGTAGCTCTTGTCAACCTAATGTCGCGCGATTCCACAACATATGCGGACCACCAGATTTCTGAGATATTTACGCATTTTGCAACATCTTTAGTCACCGATAGTCGACACGGCTAGGAATTTCGGCTTTATCCTCTCGTCTGCACGATCGACATACTCCCACTATCACCCTCCCGACTGAATGTCCGCCAACACCGACTACTCTATTAACCATCTCTACTAAAGAGTAAATTACAATTAGAAGAATCGAAGGGTCGAAAAGCGGGTAAGAGGTAGAATGTCCTTTACTCTAGACTCTCTTGGAAGGTCTCGAAATTTCTCATTTACTAGCACTCAGCTGTGACATTAGGTTAGTTGTTATGTGGACTTCCGGATGTAAGCACCCATAACTCAACCATTCTCACATATTATTTCCATTAAACTTGAATCACAGATCATCAGAAACCAATCCAGCTCTCATGAACATTATTTTTGGAGTTTTAATTGAAGTCAGATTTTTCCACATGTGAAGTCCACGTTCGTTTGATTTAATGTCAGTGTTTAACGTTAATATTAATCTGTCGCTTTCTTTCTCAGCAATCGCGAGGTTGCTAAACAGCATAGGTTTACTTCCATACAATAACACACATACAACACAACCGTAGCTGACGTTTCGGCAGAATCGCCTTCATCAGAGCCTGCAAGGGTACACTAATACGCAACTCATCAGGTCAAACGCTTGAACAGCACAAACAGAAAGATGAAAATCTGCACGATAATTGCAAGATCTACGTCTTCTCGAAAACCCCACCGCTTTTTCACCTGTATCCCTCAGAGGAAGAACAGCCGCTCGGAGTCGCATATGGTTTACGACGAAAACGAAAAAGCAGTTCTGAAGAAGGAGAATCTGCGGAAACGTCAGCTACGGTTGTGTTGTATGTGTCTTATTGTTTGGAAGTAAACGTATGCTGTTTAACAATCTCGCGGCTGCTGAGAAAGAAAGCGACAGATTTATAATCCAATGCCGAGGTTAATAGAAAGTCGATCCTGGGAACTGTTACTATTAATGTTATTGTTAATGCCAATGCTAGTGTTAATGATAATTACGGTTGACGATTTCCACATCATTCCCGTTAGCAGGTGATTGCTGACGGCACCGTTAGGTAGAAAACTGGCTGAGAGAAAGGCAAAGCAAGAGCATCAGTGGCGCAAAGAGTAATACATGATCACCTGGAAGGAGTAATCGTGGGTTCGAGTTTGGATTGGTATCAAAGTTTTGGAGATGTCGCGAACTCGTAGTGGTTGTATTTCATATCATACTCTGCCGTGAAAAAATCTAGTAAGAAGTAAATAAAAAGTTAAGCGTTGTGATTTCGACTACAATCTCAGCTTATCTGGGTTCAATGCCAATTTGTGCTCCCCAGATCATTCCCGCTGACGGGTGATTTGCTGATGGCATCACTACGTTAATGTTAGTGTTATCATTAATGCTATATAGTAAAATATATAAAAATATATATATAGATATAGTAAGTAAAAGTCATCAACAATTCCCAGTAAAGGCTGAAACCTTTGAGAAAATTCACAATATCTATTTCTAGACCGTAACCGCCATTGTTTTATTACACTAATCTCATTATTCTCAGCATCATAGAAATCTCACGATTATTCAAAACAGCTACTGTCTAGAACACCCGTAACTTCATGTCTGAAGTTAAGAAATGTCGCAAGCATACAACTGATGAGGCCTATCAGTTTCCACGATGGTCGTTATCGAAAACACAATTCGTTTCTTGCTCTAATTCCGATTTGATGCGTATTATAAACCATGAATCATTTCGGGTGATACTGAATGGTTAATCGTAACGAATTAACAACTGCGTTCATTACGCTAATGTATATCTGATTCTTCTCCCAATTTCTCCTTCACTATAAAAAATGTTGGTTTAGCAGGAGGTGATAAATTATGCACAAATGGGTGCAGTCATTAACTCGCTAGTCCACACTAGCACACAGGCGTGATTCAATGGACGCACGAACATAAACACAGTGCTAAAAAGATAATAAAAATTCTTTGTTACCAATATGAAGAATTGTTCTTTGCTTTTTTCGATAAATGCTTCACTAGCGATTTACACACCGTAGTTATTGATGTTTACTGAACGCCTTTCGTTGGTAGTGGATATTTTCGTTGTGAAGACTGCACCCATTTGTTTTGTACCTAGCGCGCAACTTCGACAAAACTTCTATCACACTTGGCTGCAAATCAAACATTTCTTGTCCTAATTATTAACAAAGGGTTGGTAGAGGGAGTAATGTCGTTAGTGTTGCAGTCAATCGTAGAGGAAAGTGGTGGTCTGGTTCGACCCCCTCCCCAACACTCTTCCCAAAACCACCGCGGAGACGCTTAGTTCGGCTATCCTGAAACTCCATAGAGAACCGACTCGATCAGTATTGTACGACATTCATAAAGAAGAAGAAATCCTCAAGCAATAGTCGAAACAACACGCGAATTGTTCGAAAACCTTTGTGAACAATGAATACGAGGGAAACAAAACGAACACAAGAAACGCTGGGATACACACAGTAGACGAGACGAGGTATCATTTAAAACAGTGAAAAATAACACTAATTGTGAACGAACACCACTAGCGGATGTTGCCCGAATTAAATTATTGAGCCGCCCGGCTCTCCGCTCACACCTATCGCCGGTTGACTAGGAGTTTTCCAAAGCATAATGCACGCGAATTTTTTCAACTATCACTGCGCTTCACCGACTATTTGATTCCAGGACTTCATATCTATCTGTCACCAAAATAAGCAGTTTGTGCTTCTTAGGAAAAACCTATAGATTCTGATAATTTGAAATTAACTAGTAGCCTCTACTAATTCAACTCTAATTCTGCACTTGATAGTTAGCAACCGACCTCTTTGGGAAATTAATTAGAGAGAAAAACAGAAAAAAAGACGTACTTCGTAGAGAAACTAGAACAACACCATGTACTTCCTTAATTAAACTTTTCTGGAATGATTACAATAAAAACTTTCGCGGTCCGATTTATGATGTCCATCAGGTAGTTTTCATCGACTTTGAGAACCGGTGCATACGCAAGTACATGCGCGTCGTCAGTGCTATTTATGAGACCTATATGAGTCGTTCCAATATAAATCGTAACAAGTGGAAACGAACTTTCAATGCTTGCCAAATGCCCATGCCTCGCTGGTAGATAGTTTAGTGATGTGTGAAGACAGCGCTCCTATGCTTGCAGACAAGTGCGATATCAATTTGCCAAACCTGGAGGCATGAAAAGCTCGATGTGCCTGGACTCGGAGTTGGACCGGCACCGCTGTTAAATATGTCTATGTATTGCGTACTCTCTTGAAATGTTAATGTCTCTTAAAGATTTGGTGTAAAAAGAGTAGGAAGTAAACAAGAAGCTTAAGATTGCAATTACAACTACAGCCTAGTTGGGTTCATTGTAGATTTGGGCTCCCCAGACCAATCCCGATGACGGGTGATTGCTGATAGCAGTAATCGATAGAACTAGCTGAGAGACATGCGAAACGAAGAACCCGCATGGTGTGGTGGTGAACGCGTTAGCCCTCGGAAGGAGAATACCGCGTTCGTTCTCCACCGCAGACACCTGCGGTCCGGAGTTTTGCAAATATCTCAGCATCACGGAAGTTATATTTGACTATTTCTTTTCCAGGACTGCAAACTCTGAAACATTGTTTCAACTACCATACGATGTATTAGCAAATATGATACGAGAAAAAAGGAAGATCAGTGGATGTTGATGCTTTAGAAAGTATCAGAAACTATCAGAAAGTTTAAGCATTCTTTCGCTGTCACACTTTCCGCCGTCGATATGAAGTACAGAAACTAAAAAGAAAAGCAGACAGTCATAACTAAGTTAAGAATAAAAAAAATCTTCTATGTTTCAAAGGACTAAACAAATAAGGTGGTATCTAATGACCTAAACCGAAACTGCTTTGCAAGTTACATGGGCAGAGACATGCTTTGTTGTCAGAAAAAAAAATGTTTTACAGTCCATAAAATGTGTAAGTAAATATGTACGTACCAACAACGATGAAGAAGCTAAACATTGTAGAGCATGTTCGGAGTTGTAGCCTCACTGTTGTCTTTGGTATCGTTCCTGATTGGTTGATACGATACCGTTCACTTTCGCTCTTTCTCACATGTTGTTAATTCAGCTTCTTCAACGTCACCGGCTTGTAAATGCGGATGTACAATCATGCCTAAACCGGGAAGGAAGTTTCAAGAAATTTTTGAAACACTGCGTGTTCTAATTAAGTAGCTGCAAAAATATATGTCCCAAAAGGAAGAGGTTGGAGGTGTTACAACCACTGACATTGCTCTAATGCCATTTTCACATTGATGACATTATACATGGTGCCAAAAAACTATAACTAGAACGGTTTTACGATAGCTCGAAATTACTATGGAAATGAACTCATAGTAACTAAATGTGAAAATCGGAGATGCGCGGAATTTACTCCACCATTCATTAATGCAAAAACCTGCGTCCAGTATTGCAAACCGTTTGCAGGATTAAACTTAGCAAGCTACTCTTGTGGTTATTCATGACATTTGCCATTAGCGAAAAAATGTCCTAATACTGTATGTTCTGGTATCACTGCTGATATCTACGCACTTGTAGTAACCAGAAGGGAAAACACTATCTTAGAAATTTCATTCAGCAAGGAACGTCGAGGCATTCGCTTAAGTCTGGTGACCACGACCACCCTTATGTTCCGCAAAGTGTGACCAATTGCAATATGAGCACACTGTATTTTCGTATGCGTACGTATAGTTCGTTAAGCGACGAGGCGAAAGTCATCCATTTGCGGTCCCAATGTTCTAACTTTTATTTAGTGCTTATTCCTTCTTTATGGCAGAATATTATGTGAAATACAGCCACAAGGATGCTAAGATATGAGCAAACTTTCGCACACATCTCAGCATCCTTTTAGTTTTGCTACCGGATCGTTGAAGAGGATAGATACAGTAACTGCCAAGTTTCTAGACTATGGCTGATCAAAAAATTTCTGATTTCAAGACGACCCAAAGAGAGCATCAGAACATCTAGTGCGGGTTAAAGTCACCCCCACACAACTCACCCCATTGGTAACACAAACTTTTGAGCACGTGCATTACTTTACCAACAAAGCGAGCGAACCGAAGTAATATAAAGCAGCGTTACAACATCAACCCTTTTTTTGTCGCACGAAAACATTAAGATTTACATTCATAACAAGAGAGACGGTGCATAAAGCTCAGTGTTTGAGTTGCTACGCAGCAATACACGCTTTTCTGCTTTTTCGTCCCCTTAAAAAGGATAAAGGATGAAGCTCTCGGCGTTGATCAATCGCTAAGGGATGTGCCATGCATTCGACTTCATTAAGTGTGCCGGAGGTTACTGAATGCACATCTGGCCTTTACAATGACTCGTGGTGGTCTGGCGATGTATCGGGTCAGTGTTGTTATCCTCCCAAACAAATCTGTTACCAACATACCAACCCCGGAGAGATGGAAGCTTGGTGGACCATGGTCGCTGCAATCAATTCCACGGGTGTTGCAGGGAGTCTCCGACCACACGCGCCCTATTGATAGTCCCTTTAGAACGATTAATCAAGCCATTCATCTTTCCGGGACCAGGGAATCGATACAAGACCTATCTGGGAAGGGCTTCCTTCAAAGTAGAAACGTTTTAACAGCCTTTGGTAAGGACCTGCGAACGCTCTTGCAAAATCATCTCATGGCTGAAAAATATGAAGATGTTCCAGCTCAACTGAAATATAGAACTCAATACTTAAGATGCAAAATAGAACAAATTTTTTCAGCTTTCTATTTTAGTACATGTTTTCCCTTCGCCAACGTGCTATCAATTTAAATCCTCTCAGAAATCAATTTTGTTCTCGACACTTTTACACACCCACGAATTACTATAGATCGCATATTCATGTTACATACGTAAGCTCTAAAGCTACCTCATGACTAGTGCAGCTAAATGGTTAGAGGTGTTTTGCAATACATATGAGTTCGATCTCGCTTCCCTAGTTCACCAAACCTTCCATTCCTCTGGAGTCGAGAACTTGCTACCGGATCTGTCTGGGAGGATATCAGCACTGACTTGGTGCATTGGTGGGCCACCGCAAATCAATGCATAGGCTAGATATGCATTCAGTTATCTCTAACAAGGCTTAGTGAAGCGAATACATAGCGCATCCCTTAAGGATTGATTTCTGACGATAGCTTCCTTTATCTCTTCTAAAGGTAGCTCGAGGTTTCCAAACAACGAGAACCAAATCATTGAGTAGTATGGATATTTTTGGACTTTTCAGTTGTCCTCATATCAATGGCCAGTCATGATCTTGGCTGAAAGAAGTGTCAGCACTTTATTCTACATCCTACTTCTACTCATCACTACATTGACATCGCCATGAACTTGCGAACTACCATTTCGACATTTAACACCATGAGAAAGCCAGTGCGTGCTGATGCTGTCATATGCGAGTTTTTTGAGTTTCTTGAATGTGATAGAGTATGATACCAGTCTCGAGAACTTCCACATCACAAAAATTTCCGATAAAGCCGTTTTAATAGCCTTCAATAAGGAACTGTTGTATGTGCTACGTTGATCTAGATTATGATCATACCAATGTTGGTGATGATTTTCAGTGTTCATCGTTGATCTTCGCAGATGGTATAACTCCGTTATCGAAAAACCAACATTATCGCAAATGTGCTGAGAGCACTACGGTCGTTGCCTTGTCGCATTTGTATAAACTGTTAGGTGATATGACCCAAGAACGGCAACACTTTATTACAGCACTACCTCTCGAATTCAGATAACTTAACAGGAACTACGAGGCACTTCTTACATAAATATCCCTTTTTGAGACCACATAATATTATATCTGGTATATATATCTGGTCGCAGCACAGCATCCACCTCATGTTCTTTTTGCTCTTCCTCTCACCACTACGGGAAAAATTAAATCAGAACTTTCTCGATAAAATAAAAAGATATGAGGTCTCGCCGTTAATCACTCCCTGAGGGAGGCGCCATGCATTCGACTTCATTAAGTATCGTTGGAGGTGATTGAATGAATATCTGGCCTTTACAATGACTCGCATTGGCCTACCGATGTGTCGAGCCAGTGCTGCTATCCTCCCAGAAAAGCCTGACACCAATTTGCCGACTCCAGAGGGATGGACGGCTTCGTGAGCCATGGGTGCGGGGATCGATTCCACGTGTGTGTCACAGTGGTGCCTACAACCACTGCGCTACACGCGCCCTCTCGATAAAATAGGTCATTAATATCAGTGAAAATTATCACGCATATTGCATAAAAATCAACAGTGGCTGGGCGCTCTACAACTACCAAGATGATGCTTGAAAATTTATCGTTGACATCTAGCGAGAACATAACAACATAGCAAATGCTAGTGCTAACAACATTATTCAAAGCTTCTACGTAATATTTAAGAGAAGGCACATTTAAAAAGGCAAAGTTCAAAACAATGCAACATTGAAAACATGAAGTAGCAGAGCAACATTCACGTGGCAATGAGTTGAAGGCCATAAGACTTGCATAAAATTGGTCTCGACCAACATTCAAAGATGTTCATAACGAAAACAAAAATTCTCAAGCATTACTCGAATCAATACGCAAAAATTCGAAGAATTCGTGGACGATGGATGAAGGAAAACGAATTTAATGCAAGACTTGCTGAGATTGGCACATCAAATGTGAAGATAGATGAATTAAGACGAAATAAATAAAGCAAACACTTCTACATGCCCAGTTTACTCGAAACTTTAGCGCAGCATTGGTTTCAAATCGTCTGTGATTTTACAAGAGGAAAAGTTTATCGTGAAGTTCCTCATTGAAACTCCTCTAGACTGATTAAACCACAGTGAATATTTATTTATTTGCTCAGTTTATTTGCGTACTGACAGAGCGCGTGAATCCTTATTCTACTTGCCAGTTATAACACAGATGACAAAATATGAAGGTTGAAAAGAGCAATAAAGAGATAGGAACGCTGGAGTTATGAAATATCGACCGTGTGATGCAGAGCCGACATAAGAACAGTGCGTTTCTCCATAAAATTCCCCATGACTCTGATTTACAGACAATTCAGACCACTGTGTTGCTCATTCAAACCCTTACAATGTGTAGATTTAATGCACGCTCCTACAATTAGGGAAGCCTTATGGTATGAAAACGAAAAGCTAATCCAACAATCTTAGAATTTAAGAACTATTGCTAAATTCATAACTCCTACTAAGAAATACCAAACGGAAAATCTTAAGGATAGTATCGAAGAACGGATTATGATAGAATGCGTGAAATGACAAGAGATATGAAAGACGAGTATGCGAAAATAAGAAGACCAAAGTGATCCAAAGGACGTCCTGAAAACTACCAATGTATTTAACTCTCGTCTCACACTCTTAGCATTTAAGAAAATACTCCAGACCTTCTAAAAATCATTAATATAGGCTGGCAACATGCACTCAAACGTTGAGCATTGGGATCGAATTACCTGTACGCTAGCATCACCTGTCACCTGTAGGCCTGTTGATCGTCTAGTAAATCGACCCCGCGCCAGCTAGTCTTCCATTTCTCCCTGTCACATTCAAGACTAGCCCAGTGAATTCTAATCGCTCTGGGAACTCGCTGGGCATCATACCTTTCTTTCAGGGTTTTCGTGAAAAAATCTCACCATCGGGACTCTACTCTTCCTACTGTGTTTAACATCATGAGGAATACACTCGCTAACAGCTCGTGTTCACGGTTGTCGTTCAACAGCATTATGTATCCGGCCCATCTTATCCTCGACAGTTTGGCGTATAGAACGGGTCTCTGATTTTTGATCGTTGGCGTAGATCGTAGCTTCGGAACTTTTCCTCCTTTTGTGGCATGGGATGCTCTTCGTAACGTCCTTTCTACTACGTGTTCAACAACGTTAAGTGATATTTTATCCTGTTTACGTAGCGCCCATGTTTTAAACGCACACGTTAAGGCAGGGAGAAACATGGATCGAAAACGCGGGCCTTCCTGAGACGAGTCTTCTTCGTTCTCATCAGCACACCCTCAATGCCTTTGAAAGCTCTAAAAGCTGCTCACTTTCTCCTGGTCAACTCTGGAACGAAGTCGTTCGCCATGCCGATCTAGATGGAGATGGAGCATTAAGAGACATGCGTGCCGTTGGGCGTGAATGGGGACGAATATGTAACCAGTCCGTTCCTCACGAATGTCATTTTTGTGGGATTTGGACGATGACCAACCTTTCCACAGGTGTTATCAAAGTCGGCAAGAATTCGTTCCGTCTGGCTAATGCTTGGTGTTATAAGGACGATGCCGGCAGGAAAGTTAAAATTTTGTAATTGCCTACGATCAAATTTCATTCCCGTATTGTCTATTCCAGTGTTCGAATGATATCTTCGGGGATGGCGGCAAATAATATTGCGAGATGATATCACCTTGCCTAACACCTATTTTGACGTTGATGTCAATTTCGTTGTAGAACGGAGTTATTTTGGCTGTGAACTTTTTATGCAGCTCACGAAAAATCCTTATATACTGGCTAAGGTGGCCTTGGTTGTCCATGATTTCCATGACTGCTTCTATCTAAACTGATTCAAAAGCGTTCTTGAAATCAATGAAAGTGAGGCAGAGCGGTCATTCATTCTCTCGCGATTCCTCAGTGAGTCGTTCTATCGTGTGGATTTGGCCTATCGCAACGAATCCATTCCGAAACCCTGTTTGCTCACATGGCTGTCCTTCGTCTAGTGTTCTGTTAATCCTGTTTAGAAGGATTCGAATAGTATTTGCAAAACTCTGGACCGCAGGTGTCTATGGTGGGGAGCGAACGCGCTATTCTCCTTTCCGGGGAGTAACACGTTCACCACCACACCATGCGGGTCTTCTGTTTCGCCTGTCTCTCAGCTATTTCTATCGATCTTTTTTGCCACAGAAAACAAAACGTTAAACATTGCGATTTCAACTACAACCATAGCTTAACTGGGTTATATGCCGATTTGCGCTCCCCAGATCAACCCCGCTGACGGGTGATTGCTGTGGCAAAAAAGATCGATAGAAATAGCTGAGAGACAGGCGAAACAAAGGACCCGCATGGTGTGGTGGTGAACGCGTTACTCCCCGGAAAGGACGATAGCGCGTTCGTTCCCCACCGCATACACCTGCGGTCCGGAGTTTTGCAAATATCTCAGCATCATTGAAGTTAAATAAATTCCAATTTAAAGAGGTTTTGGGACTCCATTGTTTGATTTTAGTGGGATTTTCTCCCTTTCGTGAGAAATGAAATCTTGAACGAAGATGATGATCCGACCTAGTGTAGAATTTTTGAACAACAGAGAGATCGGTTATGTAAAACTTTCAGTTTACTGTGACGTTTCGTCTACATCATTACGTTATTCTCCATTGGGAGACTCCCACGCTCAGCTTCAAGAGTGGACCTTCTGGAACTGCGAGCTACCATGAATGGTGTTGGCCGCCATGATAAACTTGGACAGTCGCTCACCCTTCCCGTTCCATTATAATCCGTTGGTCCCAATGTGACGTCCTCAAGACGTTCTTCTGAATTCAATCTTAGCGTTAAAATCTCCAAGGATGACCTTGAAAGATGCCTTCTTTGTAGAACTTCACCAAGTCCATATAGATCGCATCGACTTCTTCTTCGTCATAGCTTGATGACGACTTAAACGGCAAAGATTGTAACAGCTGTTATTGATGCACATCTCTTTAAACGTAAACGTCCGATCCGGGTGGTTAGCTTTTTCAATGAATTGATGTTCATGACCAAACTCATGTTGACGAGGACGCCTGCGCAGCCGACTGCTTTATTGTCTCACGTTCCAAAAACAGTTCTTTTCCGGTGTCATAGATGACATTAAATGGGCATCGTCTTCTCAACTGTCGGTCCTATGACTTCATACTTCATCCTTCTTGCCTACATGATTACATCTTCTATTGAGGACTCACATAAAAGTTTGTGTGCATTGTAGGCACACATCGTCACCTTAGCCCGTTGCGATTTGGAGTCTAAAATGGCCCTGAGATTTTAGTAGCCTCTCCCTTCTCGACTTACCCAACGGAGCTTTATCGGAGTTCTTTCGGAGTCGCAGAATTAGGCCCGTTAATTTTAGTATGTTTAGCGTTCGAAACCCACTTACAGCTTAACGAGTCTTGGAGGTGGAGGCGGGATATAATCATGGGTAGCTTGCCCGTTAGGTCTAGAGTAGGCGGAGGGCTAATTTGTTGGAGGCGACCTCCAACCATCTCCCACGTACTTCCCTGTCACTTTATTTCAAGCTTTTAGCCGAATTTACCTAAATATAATCCACATAAACGTAAACACACCCACGCGTGCGTGCCTGAACACGTCCTTGCATGCGCAGAAGGTATGTACCAAATCGGCGCAGCAGAAGCATCCCCGTGGACTCATCAGCATCTCAGAAAAGCAAATGTCGCTTTTCGTCTGTGATTAAGCCCCTGTCCGCCAGATGGGGATGCGCCACGTTACATGGCGACCAACAGGTATGGGGCTGGTAACATGGGAAAGCGCCACCGTTCGCTGCCTCCGACAACTAATCGCGCAGTCGAATCAGTCAAATCAGTGAGCACAATAATAAGAATCAAGGAGTGTGAAGGCGAGTACTTTTCTTGACTCTTCTCTCCACTACCACAGAAAGGCGGCGCTCAAATCTATGTTACTGCTACGAAGAAAAGAGTTGTTAAAAGCAATGGTAATAGAATCAAGGGATTTACATAGGTTAACATGCAACCTAGTTCATACAATGACGTTCATCCTACGTTTTAAACAGTAATATCCATCGGAACACAAAGGTTTCTGACAAGAATATACAAGCCTAATTATTCTACTACAATGAGATGCTGGTTTTATGGAGCACACGGGCGAATATTGTGTTCTTGTCGCTGGAGTACATATCTCCAAAAAAAACCGTGAACATTATTAATAACGATAGTTCCTTCTGCAAGACAAAGTGGTGCCTCTGAAATACGTCCTTAACTTTAACACTTGCTTCAAAATCAAAAACCACGTTTTGAGGAAGGTTATAAGTAAATTTCATAAGATGACAGCGATGAATCTCTTCTACACGTCTCTCGAGCTCTCACTTCCACAACTTTTTAATTTATCGAAAAACTCGTAAGGTACAAACGTCCTAATTAACCAGTTCAGCAAAATACATCGCTTTATCCCAAAAATGCATAGACATGTAATCGACACATAATCTCTATTATAAATGCAATATAAGAAAATATAATACAAATATATGAGAATTGAATCGTGTTAATGAATAGCTAGGTAAAGCAAGATTCGATTTCGAACAAATCCAAGACTAGAAAACAAGTTTACAAAACGGATGACCCGCGCAGTGAGTGTACCGGACAAATCTCTAATCACTACACTACGCTGATAAAGAATCAAATAAGACACAAAAGCAGTGAGGAGAGGAAGTGCTTTCTTCAAACGGAAAAAAATGGGACGGCATGACACAATGGAGTTTTATTAATAAAGGTAGGATTGGAGCTCACTGAATGAGCACTGATGAAAAATTGCAACCTTGCCGAGAAATCTCCAAATAATTCGTGTAAAAAAAACTTAACAGTAAAGAAAAAATGGGAAATTATTTACTTACTAAACAAAATGTGACTATTCATATCCGTAGACATCAGTAAAGAATCAAGCTTCCAGCGGTGTATGCTCTTTGGTAATTACGCTTCATTAGACAGTGTTCTGTTGTGAGAACTGCACGAGTCTGGTGGTGTACTGCGTTACAAGTGGACGCCCACTTGTAGATAAAGTACGGCTTTGCCGGCCTTCAAAAGCAGGTACTGCTGTAGAGTTGGAACCTTGCTTTAGATCGTGAAGAGATTTGGTGACCTCAAATAAAACCATTAAAACTAAAAAGAAAACAGTTTTTAGTACATTCCCGAGAACGCTTAATTCCCGGTGTTTGCATCAATGCAGAGCATTCTCACAAATCCCACCTGCATAATTTTTCGTGAACTGTGGACTGTTTTGAACTCAACATGCCTTGTTCATTATGATCTTTAAAAAGAGACACCAAGCACTCAAAAAAAACTAGTTTTGTTCCGCTCTGTAGGTGAAAGAAAAGATATCGTTGTGAGACCGATGTACTTTGTTTCTCCAGCAGGGAGATTTTAGCACTCCCCATCTGTGGTCCCCTCTTCAGATGATATATCCCTCTATCCACCAGTCTGATAATCGCCTTTTTTGGAAGAACAACCGTCAGTGAAAATTAGTTTTCAACTAAATGCAGATAACTACAGACCTCCCAATGATTTACCAAGTCATCCTCGCTGGGAGGTGTTCCTGTCCTGGGTGTCGGGCTGCGATGTACAGCGACGGGATCCATCCACCGTCCGTAGGGCCTCCCGCGCTGAGAAGGAGTCTGGAGCGTTTAAGAAGCCCAGCTAAGAGCAAACCAATACCAGGATCCACCGCCCTCCTGGTATCAAACTAGTGGCGTGGTGGCACATCTCCTTTTGATCCACAAGGGCGGCTAATGTCTGTGGTGGTGACAACTTGGGGCACGCTTTGGTCAGGTTAACCTCGGGACTCCAGGGAAACAACATGAGTAAGTGTAGATAGCAGCTTTATGCCTTGCGGATATGTGTTGGAGATTGAAGTACTGAATACAAAAACTGTAGCACAAAACTCTGTACAAATAAATACACAGTAGACAATTAAATACACTGATACATCTTGTAATAGTTCCCAAGATCGACTTTCTCTTAACCTCGGCATTGGAATATGAATGTGTCGTTTTCTTGCTCAGC